AATAAGAAAAAAAAATGTAAAATTTTGAGAAAAAAATATAATGTAAGGGTAGTGTAAATAATTATATTAAAATAATATGGTATTAATTATTTAAGATTTGATAATAACTTTATTTTTTGTTCTATTTTTTAAAGTTTTATTAATACCATTTTACAAAATTTAAATAGTGATTATATAACATTTGTAAAATTCAAGTATGAAACTTTATATTTTTAACAATATTAAAACTATTCATGTAGAAAGACCTAAGTATAAAAAATCAATAAAGTCAACAAAAAAGACTTAAATTTAAATACATACAAAGTTGAGCACAAAAAAAATCTTTTTTTCTCCCCTTTATGAGATGATGTTATTATCACACTTTCAATTATTATGTCACATTTTTTTATTTTAATTAATTATTATACTTTTAATTTATTAAGAAAAAAATTTAGAGTTAAAAAAAGTAATGAAATAGTATAATAGATAATTATATTAAAATGATATGGTATTAACTATTTAAAACATAACAATAACCCAATCCCTTTTATATTATATCATTCAAGTTTTATTAATATCATTTGATAAAATTGTACTTATTTCTTTTTTAATTCTAAGTTTTATTCAATTAATTATTTTAGATTTGAATTAGATTTGATGCTATTCATCTTCTATTTGGTTTTTTTTTTGTTTGACTCAACTATTTAGTCATGTTGCGTTAAAAATTTATTCTAAATCTATCTATATATTAAAAGAGAAACTAACAAAAAAAAATCACGTTATGTACTAAATTTTTATATAATCCTTTATTTAAGGTATTTTGGACATATTACAAAACTTTTTTTATTTGGTAATTTGTTTTACAATGGAGTATTTTTTAAGTTGTTATTTAATGAAATCAGCTAATATTATAGTCCAAAATTATGACAAAAAAAAATTCAAATCCAAAAGCTTAATTAATGCCACATGACTACCATACCCTTAGTATATATTTGCTATACTTTTTGTTAATTTAAATTCTTTTAAATAAAAAATTATTAAAAAAAACTTATTATTTGGGTGAAATTACATGAGAAAAGTGTTAATGTAAAATTGATAAAA